GGTACTCCCCCCATTTTTTATCCTCGTACTCATACTCTCTCTTGCATCGATCTATCAGTTGCTTTCCCCCACTCACAGACTTCACCTGGTCTGTTCTACCAGACTTACTGACACGATCATTTTCCCATCATTTTTAAAATTTTCCTTACTATTTACCACCTTCCCGACCCCCGCTGGCAATTTGATCGGGGAATTGGGTCTTTACCCACCTCCTGCTTTTATGAGGTTTTCCTTCTTCATCCCCATTGATGAGCTCCTCACATCTTCTGACACAATTTTTACCGCAGCTTTTTCATTCTATACCCCCAAAACCCAGGCAGGATTCTCAGAAGTGCGTGCCTTTGGGGGTCTCCTGCTTGTGTCGTGAGTACGTTTGAAAAAGTGCTGATGGGGCAGGTACCGGGACAATGAACCCCTGAAGACTTGTTTTTTAAGCAAGCGTGCGATCGCTGCCGTGTCACCGTAAGCTAAACGCACTTGTTTGGGGAGACTAGTTTCCACCTCACCCCTGCTTCTTCTAGAGTGCAGTCGGGAAAAAAGTGAGGAAATTGATGGTAAATACTCTCCCGACCCGGCTCCGTTCTAAAGGGTTCACTGGTGTTTATATAGCAAAAACCCCTCGCGTTGCCATTTAACTTGGCACACATCTGTCCGTATTTCCCCAGGGCTCCCTATGCCCCTCGTTCTTTCCCAAAGTCTGCCAGAGGTTAGTACCCTTGGACTTTTCTTCTGGAAAGAACAGTATAAAGTGCCTTTTACACTTCAAAATGAGGCAAAACCCCCAGCTTGCCGTCATCGCAGCTGGGGTGTGAATTCAATTTTAGTTACAACATTTACAGGTCAGCCCTTGTATCCTCTTAAAACCCCTTCAATCTTTTTTGGCACAAAGTTCTTTCCCCACCGTGGAAAATTCCATTGTTTCCCCCTTTCCCCCCAAACCGGGGACTACAGGGCATGATCCCCCACTACGGGCCCCCTCGCTCTTACAAAGGGAGTTTGCAAAGTATGGAACGCCTCGAAATCGACGTTTAATGTGGGATTTTAAAACTCGCAACAGTCCCCCTCCGCTAGTCAATGGGGTTTCTAAGGGTTTTTTACATAGACCCCTTACTACCTTGGATACGTAGTTCGTAATGCCTTTGCGAATAATCACCATTATTGCCATATTTTTCGACCTTTAAAGGGATATGCCAATTGGGGTATAATTTTTGGCCCAGGCCCATTCCTTAGGCACCGGGCAATCTACCATCCCTTCCCCTTTAAGAAAATTTTTAACTGAAGAATTTTCCCTGTTCGAGTCAAAAATTTCTTTCCCCCGGGCTTCGCAAGCTGAAGGGGTCCCTCAGGGATGTGTTCTAAGCACAACATTTTTCCCTTGCTATAAATGATTTGGCCTCTGTTTTTTTTTCCCCCCAATATTTGGTATCATCTATGTTGAGACTTGCTATTGCTTGGCAGGGGCGACTGTCACCTTTTTGCAGTTTCTCTCACATGCGGTCGACCCTGTTTCCCCTTGGGGCCCCCAACATGGGTTTTAAATTTTTTTAAATACCAAAACTCACCAAAATTTCTTTCACTAGACCTCTGTTATCTCCCATCATCCCTTTTATCTCATGGCCCCTATCCCCGAACGGATACAGTCGGTTTTGGCCCTTTTCTTTGACCGTCGTTAACCTGGAAAAAATACATTACCCCCTCTGGGAAGGCAAACTTTTCACAGCCGGGTAAACCTTCTTAAAACCCTTGCTCATCTTTTCCTGGGGAGCTGTTCGTCGAACCTGCTTCGCCACATTTACCCTCGTTTTATCAAACTCGATTATGGCGACCAATTTTTTCCCGGCCTCCCCCCCCCCGCACTCTTCTAGCTTAAATCTACCATCACCAAGGCTTCGTTTGTGCCTTTGGGGCTTTTCGCTTTCCCCGTTGAGAGCCTTTAAAAAGAAAAAATTTCCATCCTTTTCTGATCGCCGTGATGCCCATTCCTTCGTTACTATGTACGCCTCACGTCACACAATCCTTCCCCTTTATAGAATGGTCACCGAATTAGTAGACATTCTTTATTCTTGCCCCCCCTGTTTTGCTCCGTCCTTTTCTCTTCGCCACTTTTACTCTTGTCTTCCTTCAGTTAAACCCCCTTTTTATGTTCTGTAGCACTCACTTTTCCCCACCCCCCTGGGAAATTCCAGCTGTTCGGGCGTTCTTTTTCACCCCCTTGCTCGAAAACTCAATGCCTACGTGGGTTCCCCCCTCTTTTTTCTTGATCACTTTCCCCTCTCATTTTCAGCCACCGCTGTGTACACAGATGGCCTAAATCTTTAACGGCGTCGGGTTCGCAGCAGTGTTTTTTCCGACAGCGTCGTACGAGGGGATTTTCTATCTTCAGCTAGATTTTTAACTGCTGAACTGTATGCCATTCTTGCAGCATTATTGTACGCACTATGCCGTGTCATCTTTGTAGAGTCTCAGACTCCCTTATGCTCTACAGGTATACGAAAATTTGAACATCTCACCCCTAGTTCCCGTATCCAACTTTGGTACCCGTATCTCTCCAAACATAAAGAATTGTTTTTTGTTGGGTCCCGGTCATGTCACGTACGGGCAAAGAACAGGGAGACACTCTCGCGGGCAGAGTAATACCTACCAATTTCCCATCGAGGTTTCCATTTCTGGGAAATTTTTCTGCAAAGCTACCCACCTTCCACCCCCTGGAACAACTTGGTCAACTCTGCTCGGTAACAAACTTCATTCTATTTAAACCGAGCATAGGTTTTCTGGCCGCTCTTGTCATCAGTGCCGAGGTTGGGAACCCTCTCTCCTCCTTTGCATTTTGGGCCACACTTCTACTCATGGGTTTTTCCCTGGAGAGGCACCCTTTCCTCTCTTTGGGAGTGTCAAGTTCCAGTATCGATTAGCCCCATTCTGTTAGACTGCCCCCCAATCAACGAGCACCAGAAATTTTCCTCCAACTCTTTCGTTCTCCTATCTCCTTTCCTTCCCTTCTTGCTGATGGGGCCCTCCTTTTAACCTGACTCTCTCATTGACTTCTTTACAACGACTATTTACTCCCAAACTCTATGATACTTTTCGCACCCCCTCAGCCCTTTCTGGGTTTAGTCTCTTTCTGCCCTTTCCCTTTTACCTCCACTCCCCGCTGTTATCCGTAAAACCCGTTGCCATCCATTTTCCCTTTTTCCCCCGTGCCCCGCTTCCTTCCCCCCTCAGCGCTGTATATCCTTGTGGGTTAGCGTTCTTTTTGATTTTAAAATAATAATAACAAATCCATTGAATCCTCCACCTTTCCCCACAGTATAAAATAGCAAGGGTCACCCCGATCCACAAAAGGGAAACCCAAAAAAGGGTTTAAAAACTATAGGGCCCTATCCAACTTACACCCCTCCAAAAATCTTTGAAAATTAAATTTATAAACGAATCTACTCCCTACCTTATCTCCCAAAACATATCAATCCCCCCAATTTGGGTTTAGGCCTAATAAAAATACAATGAGCTTTTTACACATGCTAAAATAATACACTGCAATAGAGAAAAAAGAATCCCACTGGGGATCTTCTTGACTTACGTAAAACTTTTGATACAGTTACCCTGACTTGCTCCACGTAAAATTGTCACACTATGGTATAAGAGGGCACTCCCTCAACTACCTCAAGTCATACCTCAGCAACAGAAGCCAATATGTGTACGCAAATGGGGCAAACTCTTCTGCGAAACCAATTACAGTTGGTGTCCCACAGGGAAGTGTCCTTGGCCCTCTTCTCTTTCTCCTATACATAAATGACCTTCCAAATGCTTCGCAATTACTCAAGCCCACACTTTTTTGCAGATGACACTACATACGTCTTCTCTCACCCGAGCCCAGTCACGCTAGCCAATACTGTAAATACCGAATTACAGAAAATATCTACCTGGATGAGGACTAACAAACTTACACTAAACATTGACAAAACCTGCTTCATTCAGTTTGGTAACAGAGCTACAGATGTCCCTCTTAACATAATGATAAACGGATCACCTATCACAAAGCTAACAGAGGGAAAATTCTTAGGAATCCACCTTGATAATAGACTCAAATTTCATACACATATACAACAAATTTCTAAGAAAATTTCCAAGACTGTAGGCATACTATCGAAGATACGGTACTATGTTCCACAGTCAGCCCTCCTGGCCCTATATCACTCTCTTATTTACCCCTATCTCACCTATGGAATTTGTGCATGGGGCTCAACAACAATTAACCATCTCAGACCACTAATTACCCAACAAAAGGCTGCAGTTAGAATGATATCAAATTCTCACTACAGGCAGCACACTCCACCAATATTCAATACACTAAACCTACTCACCATACAAAACATCCATACTTATTACTGCACCTATTATATACATAGAACACTTAACTCTGATATTAACCCTCCCCTCAAACATCTTGCCAACCTCAACAGAACACATGACCATAACACAAGGCACAGATCACACTTTGATGTTCCTCATATCCATCTCACACTATGCAAAAACTCAATGCACATAAAAGGCCCTAAAATCTGAAATTCATTACCTGTAAATATAAAAGAAACACTACCTGTTTATAAATTCAAGTCTCTTCTCAAAGATCACTTACTCACCCAAAACCAAATAAATACTGAATAACTGAACCTTATAAATTGTATATCTTAAATGTTTCTCACAATTATATCACATAAATGTTAAACCTAAAACCGAATCTAACTTTATTATTTTTTAAATACACTACCTAACAGAATACTTCATACGACTGAATGTACAACAATGCATGCAACCATATGACCTGTCTTTGTAATACTCACTTGTGCTTTATAGTAATCTGTTTACATTAATGTTTTATCACTGACTTCATCATTGCTTAGTTAATCTTAAGTTAATTTTAAGCCAGCCCGTAATGCTATGCATAGTATAAGTGGCTTTGGCATGCTGCTCTTATCTGTATTTTTTTGTACCTCTGTATGTGTGCTCAAATTGTTAATAAATAAATAAATAAATAAATAAATCAAAGTAATGTTAGCATAACATTTTTATTATAGCATGGCAGTGTTTTTTACAAATTGGCACTGGCTATTTTTAAAAATTTCCTTGCTTATCATTCTCTTTAATATACACCATTCTGTATATTTGACTATCAATATTTACAGGAGTCCAGCCAAACCACGAGCAATATAGAATCTCCTGGTTGCAGAGCACAAGATTCTTCAAAGGTAAGCTGTCTTACTTCTTTTAGATCAAGGAAATGTTTAATACTTTACCAGTGAAGATACTTGGAAAAATGAAACTTTAAATATGATAAATAACTTTCATGTTTCAGGTTTACTGACATGCATACACTAATAATCTTTAGACTTTTATTGTGATTGACAAAAGTTACTGTTATGTGCAAACAACTTCTGAAATAGGTCACCTTAAAAAATTTAAATATTGTTGAATGAAAAATGTTTTTCAGTTTCTTTATTTTGTCATTTACGTAGTTATTTAAATACAGTGGACCCCCGCTTAACGATCACCTCCCAATGCGACCAATTATGTAAGTGTATTTATGTAAGTGCGTTTGTACGTGTATGTTTGGGGGTCTGAAATGGACTAATCTACTTCACAATATTCCTTATGGGAACAAATTCGGTCAGTACTGGCACCTGAACATGCTTCTGGAATGAAAAAATATCGTTAACTGGGGGTCCACTGTATAAGCATTGAATAAAATAATTCTTTGGTATTTATTTTATCCTTTACCTTCTCAGTAATATTTTTCTGACTTAATTCCAAAGAATTTTAATTTTTATATAAAATGCCTTGCTGTTCCTTATTAAAATGATCCCCCCGATGCTGGGTCACTTAAATGTGGTGCAGGGATACGAGTCAAGTTTATTTTTGTAAAGATTACAGTGTGTAATTACAATTTTGATTTGCTAAGTACAAAGATGGCCACTATCATGCCGAGGCTTTTTGGGCAGACTGAGCCTAATACACGTAGTTGATGCCTCGGGGTTTTGGCTTCTTGGAGGGATGTCGCACTACCCATAGGGTACTTGCCTGGCTAAGGACTAGTGATGTATCGGATATCCACATCTGCGGAATATCCGCACAATTTCTTGCATTTTACTGTAAACAGATATCCGCAGAACATCTGCACTATTTCTTACATCCACATCCCCAAAATAAGTAAGACATACATATCCACATCCATGGATATCAAAATTTTCTCATCCGATACATCTCTACTAAGGACACAGCATCTCTTTCTGCATAAATGGTGGTGATATGTATCCTTTTGTCTTAATTTGCCAACATGGCCAGTGATGCTTGTCTGGATTATGGAATCTGAAAACAGTCTTTGAATCGTTTTACATGCTTTGTGATTATGATTAATGTAATACAAAGTTGAATCTTGACTGGCTTGGGCCAGTGGGTCTGATGCATTGCTCCTTCCTTCTTAAATGGCTGTGATTTGTTTCGAGCTGTCTAGCTTAGGCTAGTAGATGACTTGGACTTGCCTAGCATGGGCCAGTAGACCCACTGCAGTGCTCCTCCTTATGTTCTTATGTATACAAGAATTGGATTTAGGAGATACTGATTAGCTGGACTTGTCATGGAGGTGGGAAGTAATCTAAAATGAGTAAGGATGTAGCAGTTTGGAAGGTCATCTAAACTGTGATGTCAACAGGACAATGACTGAGTGAATGCATTTTCTGTTCGAGTTACCCTACCTCAGTGGGAGACAGTCATTTCAATAAAAAACAAAAAGAATTGGTCACCGGAATTACAAGTTGATGATAATGTAAATTTGATGAATGGAATAAGTTTAAAGTGCTGAATAACCAAACAGTTCTAGTGTGTTGTAAATAATACAAACCCTTTTTCTTAATGGGATAGTAAAAATAAAAAATGTGTTAATCCTGATATATTTGTATTTCAGAGTGGCATTATCCCGAGGTACAACCTGAGGAGTGCAGAGAAAAAACGTAATGCGTCTCGGGACTCTAATTGTCATGAATTGTTATAGGTTCACAAATTACTGTACTGCAGATGTAGGAGTCTGAGTATCCTGTTGAATAAAAGGAAATGTTTTAAGGTTCAGAGATCTTTTATATTTTGTAATTAATCTTTTTCTCATATTAATAAAGATGTATTTTTCTAGAGTACTTACACAGTATTTTTATAAAATCTCTTAAATAACAAAATGCTATATTTTTGTAGAGGTGCAATGTTATATGGATATACAGTATATATATAAATTTATTAGAATGTTGTAAATTGTGTATATGAGCTCTTTAGCATATATTTTCATAAATGTTCTATATAGTATTAATATTTTAATTTTGAAACTACATATATAATATTGAACCATATTTAGACATAAAATTGTGTATGTATAGCACTTATATTTAGAGGTCACGTGCAACAACTAGAGTTGATGAATAAGGCAAATGTGCAACACCCGGGTATCTCGTTAAAGATACTCGTGTGTTTTACATATCTTTTATGCACCAATTTTTTGACATTATGCAACTTTTGATCTAAAGATAAAAATATCATACTCAATAAGATTCACTTTTTCTTTCTGAAATGTTGTACTCTTATGAAATGTAATGTATTTTTTAAGATTCGTATTTTAAGCCATACCTAAAAACTAAAGGATCCATAATTCTAATTTACTTTAAAAGTGAAATTGTCCTTAGACACTGTAGCTTCATTTTATATTTTAAAATGTTTCCTGACTGTGATGCATCCTAATACTTACTTTTGAGAGGTAGAAATTTAGGGGGTAACTTGTATCAAATACTTGAGTGCAAGAATGTTAATGGTCATTCACTCGCATAATCTGTTATACTATTATATAGTGAGTGATATGGCAAAAGTTCCTAAGCGTATAGTAATAATTGTACAAAAATAAAAATCGTCTAAAAGAAATATGCTGAGATTCTAACCAGTGTAGAAAAAATCTTAAGTCAACTCTTTCACTGATGTATAATTTATCTAATATAAATTCCATTTAAATATTGGCAGACTTATTTCATGACTTTATAATAAAAGTTCTGTAGAAAAAAACTATGCAAATCACTTGTGATCTAAGTATTGTGTTTCAGTTTAGATGTAGCTAATACTGTGTTGTATACTATAAGAGGAAGTGTTTCATTGTGTTCTGTTCATTGCTGCTTTATTTAACTCTTAACATCTCTAATAAAAAAAATATCTTTTGTTCATTGTTTAGTTACCTCTTATATGGCCCCTTGAGCAAGAGATTTGGAAAAAATGTTCATAATTGGATCTTGGCTACTGAACAAATAAAAAGTATGTTGGTTTTAAAATCACTACTTAAAATGTGTTGCTTACAACGGTAACTTATCTTGGGACTGGCTGCAGTGCTGTATGACGTGTGGGTTTAATGCTGGAGTTTATTGTTTCAAATAATTTGGACAGGCTTAATAGATCTCATTTTAATGGACTCTCGTATATACTGTAAAACTAAACTGTTAATTTATTGGAATCAGTAAATTCTAATTCTTTTAGTAGGAAATAAAGACAGGTGTGCGCTGTTAATATCTTATCTACCTCGACAGACCCTAGTCTGGCGCACTCTTAAGGGAGGAGTTGCCTTGATATTGGTTTGAGTGCTTTAGATTCTAGTAAATTAGACTTCATTGGCCTATGGCTCCTTGGAAATATGATTTCCGTACATATTATCTACAGGTTAGCACGCTCTAGCAGTGTAATTAGTGGCAATATTAGACTGGTGGGCATGATTCATATGGGTGTAGTATTGTTTCTCAAGGAGAGGGTGCCTTGTGTCTGATGTGCTCTTGATTAAAGGTATTTTGACCTGTCCTCCCCTTCCAATCATACTGGAGTGCATATGGGTTTAGTGCTTCCCCATAACAATTACAGGTATTTTGGTTGGTATGGAAGGGGTAAAGGAGGTTTTGTGGGCGAGGGGCTTGACTTCCAGAGGCGTACATGGGTGTGTTCGATAGGAGTGAATGGAGACGAATGGTATTTGGGGGACCTGACGAATCTGTTGGAGCGTGAGCAGGGTTAATATTTTAGTGAAGGATTCAGGGAAAACTGGTTATTTTTATTTACCGGACTTGAGTCCTGGAAATGGAGAAGTACAATGACCTGCACTCTAAAGGAGGGGTTTCAGGATATTAGCAGTTTGGAGGGATGTGTTGGTCTCTTTATACTTACGTTTATACTTCTTAAACTGTTGTGTTCTGGCTACTCTGCAAAAATAGTGATTATTTGTGAGTGAGGTGAATGTGTTGAATGATGAAAGTATTTTCCTTTTTGGTGGATTTTCTTTCTTTTTGGGTCACCCTGCATCGGTTGGGAGACGGCCGGACTTGTATAAATAAAAAAAAAAAAGAAAAAAAAAATAAAAAAAAAAAAGGTATTTTAGGGATAATGGCAGTTGGAGGGAATCTAAACTGTTGTATGAGTGCCTCTGCAAGATGGTTATGTTATGAGTGATGGTGGTGAGAGTTGTTGAATGACAATAAGTTTTTTTCGTTAAGTTGTCGGCCACCCTGCCTCGGGAACTGGCGGCCATATTTAAAAAAAAAAAAAAAAGTGCGTAGATCAGAGTGATCATTGAAGCAAAAGAGTGAGTGACACTTAAGTAATTGTAATGTGTGTTTCTTGCAATTACACCTCTTCAAGGGGGGCTCCTTGGCGTGGTGAGTGGCTCTTGGTCTGAAGGATTTGCCCTGGTACGGTCTTCTTCCTAAGACCGAACTAATTACCCCCCATTCTCCCCTCCCCTAGCCATCCTCCCCATCCTCCACTTTTTCCAATTCCTCCTCCTCCTCCTCACCCTCCCATTTTGCCCTTCCTCTTTTTTAGCCTTCGTGATTTCTCCCACAGGCGCGCTTGTTCCTAGGTAGGGGAAAGGACACCGGGGTCGATCCCAATCCGTGTTGAGGTTCTTGGCGGTTGGCGTAGTTTGCCGTGGAAATCTGGATTGCCTTAGGGATTGTCCAGATCCCTCTCGGTATCCCGGAGTAGCTTTGGGTGTCTTTTGGGCGACGGGTGTATCTCTGGAAGCCCACCTTTCGGATTCCGGGGGTGGTGGCTGAAGGAGGTATGCTTTTGTGGCGGTATATCCGGCCGCCCTCTCTTTTGTCCACCGAGGGTAGCTCGGCATGATGTCGAGGGTTTGCTATCCGAGATTGCTGGTTTACTGGCTATGAAGGGTTAGGGTATATGGCAACGGGTTCCCATGCTGCATCTGCAGGCTACTAGCGGTGTCGAGTCCTCTTGGGCGCGGAGGGAGATTTCCGGCCCTTTATTCCTTCCTGGGAACTATTCCTCCCCGCCCTCCCCCCTTTTTTTATTGCTTTTTTTGTTTTTATTTTCTTTTCTGTCGTTCTTTTTTTTTCTTAAAAACAAAAAGCAACAAAGGAGTATAACCTAACCATGGCAGCCCTAGTCCATGAAACATACCCCCGGGCCCCTTCTTGATACCGCACCCCATTCTGACCCTGCCTTGTGTTTAGACCACTCTTCGGACACTCCTGATGACCCGCTGTACCTCTTGCTGGTGCTGTTTGCCTCACCCGCTTCTAGGTAACCGGGGCTTCGACCTGACTCCTTCGATTTGTCTGAACTCCGATATCCTTTGGACTATGCTTCCGGCCTTCTCCTCTCGGTAAGGCAATTTTCGAATCGCCCACATTTTCCATGCCGCGGACCAACTCCGGTCCTATCTCCTAAACGGCCAAGTCAACTCTCCTGATGATGCTCGTCGTTTAACTTCCACATTTATAGGAAAACGGACCGAACACGGTCAAGCTCATCCCTCTCACGCTCTGTTTCGGACCACTCTATGGGCTAAATTCTTTACTTAAGACCAATTCTTCTCTGCCTACCTTTATGACCCATAGTAATTGCCAAAGCGCTCCCTGCGTCATGTTGGCAGAGATTATTTCATTTCACGTCTCAAGAGCGGTAAGCGCATCGTCTGCTGTCCAGAATGCTACCAAGTCATGATCTTTCTCTCCTTTCAGAATAATCGATTACTACTCCTATAACTATTGAAAAAACATCTTTCTCTCAATTCTTGTAGTGTTACTGTCATTCTGCCCTTACCATAGTCAAAGGAATTTCGTCATGTGGGCAATGTCATTTTTGAACAGAAAACTGGAACTCCAGGATCTCCCAAATCTCAAAGTAGCACTTTATGTCATTCCTGCCCGGGAGGCGGAGAGTTACTCCCTTGCAATGTGGCTCGTTTTTAACTTTTGACAGCCGAGAAAACTCCCGTCCTCTGTATATGGTCGCGGACATCGGTTACAAGTTTCGAAAGGTGATACCTACACCGCAACAATGTAGAAATTGCTGGCGTTTTGGTCTCCCAGCGAAATATTGCAGATCTATGGCGAATGCCCAGTCTGTGGTGCCGACACATTCTACTACATCTTGCAGTTCAACCTCCTTCTTGTTAATTGTAATGAAGCTCACCCTTCGTACTCCGCGTTGCCCAGGGTCTACTTAACTGAACGTGAAATCCGTTTGCTCAAAGAGGAGAGTCTCCCTTATTTGCTATGGCCGTTATCCTTTCCGCCTCCAAGGGAGACTACCCCGTGTTTTTATTTCTCGTGTTTCCAAAACATCCCCCCACTTCGGTGGTCCCAATCATCTTCTGCAGCCTCCTCTGTTGTTTACCCCTCCCATAGCCATACGGATCTAATCCTTTTGCTGTCCTTGGATCTGACGTCCCGACTACAACTCAGTCTGTTTCACATCTTCGCCGTCCTTCCTCACAAGCCCCTGTATCGACAAGACCTCGTACGACACCTAATACCAATCGCCCCTCTACTCAGAGTCCAAAAAAATCCACATTGCTCAAATCTTTCTTGCCCCTTCCTCCCTTCTTCAACCTCCACACGTTACCTTCATGTATCTGTACCTAGTTATTCCCCTCTCTATGGCTCTAGTAAAGTGTGGAGATCACCTCTTCCTCCTCGGACTATGCCTTCCACCCCCGTCCCCTCCCAAGTTTCTCCCTTTCTGTCACCTCCCAGGTTTTCTACCTCTTCTGTCCCCCAACAACTTATTATTCCAGTCCCTTACACTTTTCCTCTCCCCCTCTACTTGAGTACAGTCCATTACTGTCACCAATCTTTACTCACCCTCTCCTCCTATCTCCAATATGGTTTCCGACCATCTTTGAATTCAGAAAACAATTGAAGCCATTTCTAGAATATATTGCATGGACTAAACATTCAATGGACACTGATTCACTTCCTGTTCCTTCTCTTCCCTCTCCTCGCATCTTCCACAACCACCAATCTTTCGCAACGCTCGTTTCCTTCGCCTACTTGAACATCTTCCAATGCCACACACACGTTGACTTTTATTAACCCCTTAGTCACGTTAGGTTTTTTTGTTGGTTGCCTTTACGCTACAGATTCCTGATATTTTTTAATCGCCAATCATGGCCTATTTACAGTGGATTTTCGCGGCCTCAGGGGTAAACGGGTGTGTGCTTCTGATGTTGCTTTCCTGGTTTTCCCCTGTTGGTGATGCTTACAGAACCAAAATACATCGGCTTGTTTTCCATCACTATCTCAGGCTATATTTATTGTAGTCTTCGGACCTTTCTCAGGGGACTTTAATGAAAGTGCCCTTCTTCTACGCCTATGATATTCCGTTATGTCAACTATTTGTCATACCCTCGCTGCATTACCTGCAGCCCGTATCCACTTGAATAAAGTGGTATACAATATGTTCTTTATATCTCTCTCCTTCTCGAGCTTTTCTATCCCAGACTTTGCCTTTCTTGTTTCATCCTTACCACACACCATTCTGTTACTTGGTGATTTTTAATGCCCCCATTTCCTCTGGGGGGGGTCTCAGTGTGGACTCAGTTGTGGCTTTCAGGTTGAGGCTTTTCTTGCCTCTCACCCCACTCAGGTTTTTAAAATACGGGTATCCCACCCATTTTTGATTCTGTAATGCTTACTCTCTCTTCCATCGATCTATCAGTCTGCTCTTCCTCCACTGCACTAGACTTACCTGGTCTGTTCTACAGACTTACATGACAGCGATCATTTTCCGATCATTCTTACTTCTCCTTACTATTAACCACCTGCCGTAGCCCTCGCTGGCAATTTGATCGGGCAAATAGGGATCTTTACTCACACCTCACTGCTATTAGTGAGGTTCCTTCATTCATCCTCCCTTGATGAGCTCCTTCACATC